ACGACGACACAGGACACCAACACAAACAAGAAAAACAGATGGGGATGAGACAAGCCTAGCTAACAAAAACCCATAAACCAGAGTACAAATAAACTCAGAGACATAACAAGAACTAAACTGAAGACTAAATAAAACCGAACTTAAACATATATAATCTTCCTCAAACCTAGAATCATAAATATGAAAAAATAAACTCAAAATGCTTCATCAAAGACTCAGCACCGTGACCGATGTCACGGTGATTTTATACCTGCTGCTTAATCTGTGGTACCTGGTATCAGGTATTATCGCCTAATGGAGAATCCTAAAAACCGTGTGGAGCTGTGCTGAGCTGATTGAAGCAAGTACTAATGGCAGTCTAAAGAGCTTGGATAGAAAGCGACTGGACGTCTTTAAGTTTCATGAAGACATTTCACCTCTCATCCAACAGGCTTCTTTGGTTGTAAAACCAAATGGGGGAGTGTTCCAGGTACTTAAACCCTAGTGGGGGTTGTCACATGAGCCAAGGTGTGAAAAAAGATGTGGATCATTATCACCATAGGTCTTGGGTGAAACCATTGTGAGACTTTGCATCACCCTATCATGTGACCCATTGAGGTCACCGGACAAAAGATATGAGTGGGGGTTTAGATACCTGGGACAGGATCTCAAGACTAAATTGTAGGTGGCGGGCAATTGGTGTCGTAAACCACCCCTCTGTTCAATGATGGTTGCTTTATGTGGTGCTTTACTTCTGAGCAAACTAAAAGTAACATAGTGTATGCTGTGCAGTGCAGCGAGGAGTGCTCAGACCTCTACATTGGCGAAACTAAACAGTCACTCCATAAACACATAAACACCCGGGCACCTCATAGAAAAGCCAGCTCTTGTGACGACATCCAGTAATAGTAGAAGTGAGACATTTTTAACCCTTTAAAACTGGTCGGAGCGGCACGCTCTGTGTTGCATAACTATTTTTAAATCCCTGTAGAACCGGAACCACGTAAGTGAGCGCAATAATCTTTTTTGCACATGAAACCGGAGGAGTTGTACTTACATCTTATGCCATCAGCTTGTCCTAAGTCAGGGTTTCTTTCCACATATGGCTTGGCAAAAACAACATAAAAAGCATTTTGCTCGTGGAGTCCTTTGATGCTGCAGAGAGGCACCATCCAGGTACAGAGGGAGAAAATGTGGAGCTGTTGGCGACATGCAGCACTGTTGCTGAATTTTGGAAAGCAAATTACGTCCAGGCTTAGGTCTGTGTGTTGATGTTTAAACAATGGAAAATCCCTGCATCCTTAAAACTACAGAATCCTATCTGTTCAAATTTACATTAATAAATATGGTGTATCTGAAGTAAGTACTGAAATAAAAACATGCTACAATAAATAGCTGTAAGAGATTAGCTTGGAATAATATGTGTCCCTGATGTTTAAAAAAAAAGCCACCTCCTCTGTTTGCCTGTGGTACATACGGTTCCTCCTCTTCCTCCTCTTTCTAGGGTTTCTGTTGCCTGAGGTATTCACTGAGCACACGGTCAGTTGTGGCCATCTTCCTGATGTATTCGTGGATGTAAACTGTCTCATCCTGGACTGTGGTGCTGACTCTCACCAGTCTCCGGCCTCCTTCTTTCCAGTTAGCATACACCCTCAGGGCACTGGACTTGGGGTGAAACCTTCCATGCATGATCAGGAGCTTCCTGGTCTTGGTGTCAGTGGCTTCCATCTCCTCCTTTGGCCAGCTTATTATCCCAGCAGGGTACCTGATCACGGGCAGGGCGTAGGTGTTTATAGCTCGGATCTTGTTCTTACCGTTCAGCTGACTCCTCAGGACTTGCCTAACCCTCTGCAGGTACTCAGTGGTTGCAGCTTGCATATCATTCTCGTCATGGTTCCCATTTGGCTGTGGGATCTGCAGGTACTTGTAGCTGTCCTCGATATCTGCAATGTTGCCTTCTGGTAGTTCGATCTCCTCAGCTTTGACTACCTTCCCTCTCTTTGTTATTATCCAACTATACTTCTTCAGTCCGAATGATATTCCGATGTATATCCTGCTGGTGTGGATAAGTGAATCAATGTCTCATTCGCTCTGGGCATACAGCTTGATGTCATCAAGCTGTATGCAGGAGGTGGCTGACAGCTGCTCCATTCCGTAGTCTGTATCTGTAGCCAGTTCTCGCTGAGGGTTTTCAGACCTATATAATTTATGCTGCACTTGAGGAGCTCTAGCATGCACTGAAGATTTATACATGCAAGTAGATATTAGATTTAATGTGAGAGTCTGACAGTATAGAAACTCATCCTTGAATGAGATTGGCCAAATTTAAATCAGGTATGTTTTTTGTCTTTATTGTTTAAATAGTAAAGTTATAAATTAATACATAAATTCATACATAATTACAATATGTACTTTCAGTGTGTTCCTTTTCATTAGCACATGTATGCAGAGATGAATATTTATTGACTTGAAATCAACAAAGAAAACGGTTTATTTATTTATTTAAACCAACATCAGATTCTTCGTTGTTGCTTACCTGGCATTCAGTTGAAATCCTAGCAAAGTGACTGACTGTAAGATATGTATATATGTCAAGAGATTACATTTTATATAGCTCTCACCATGCAATATTTCTGAGACACTGAGCTCAACACTATAGGTAGCAGGTGACATGTGATCAAGTTTCCTTAACAGGACATACCATGTCACTTCTGCTTGGCCAATCAGACTCACTCTTCTCTCTTAAAAGAGGAGAAAGGGTCAATGCTCTTTACAATGAGCAGAACGATATGAGCACAATGACATCTGCACAGTTTGCCTTCTATTTGACATGTTTGTGCTTAGGGAAAATGGGTAAGTTTTTTTTTTTTGTGTTTTTGTGTGTGTTTGTGTTTGTGCGTGTATGTGTGTTTTATAAAATGCAGTTTGAATCTTTTAAAATGAATGACGATGATTTCATGAGACCATAATTGTGTTTACTTTGTCTTTCATTTCACTTCAGCTCTGACGAAAGACCTCAAATTCTCTTTTTCTGTTCATCAAGAAAGACGTTTCATAACATCTAACAGACGGGACAGCGTGACTTTGACTTGTTTCTATGAAGGAGATGTTGCTGCGAGGTTTTACTGGTACAAGCTGACATTGGGACAGAAACCAAAGCTCATTTCTACTCTTTACAAGTTTGACACCAACGCCACCTTTAGTGATGAATTCAAGAGTGATCCACGATTTACAGTTGATGCTGAAAAAGGAAAAATCTACTTAAAGATAACAAATCTGGACATTTCAGACTCTGCTACTTACTATTGTGCAAGTAGCTATTCATTTAAGTTTAAATTTGGAGAGGGCACTATCATCAACATAAGAGGTTCAGAGTTGGATATCCCAACTTTAGTGCAGCAGTCAGCTTCTGAGATCATCCAACCAGGAGGCTCTGTGACTCTGAACTGTACAGTACACACTGGGACCTGTGATGAAGAACACAGTGTTTACTGGTTCAGAGACTCTGAAGCGTCTTTCCCAAGAATCATTTACACCAATGGAGGCAGGAATGATCAGTGTGAGAGGAAACTCAACACACAGACACACACATGTGTCTACAACCTACCAATGAAGAGCCTGAATACGGCTCATGCTGGGACCTACTACTGTGCTGTCGCCTCATGTGGACACATACTGTTTGGAAACGGGACCAAGCTGGACTTTAAGGGTAAGTAACTCGGATGGCTTATATTATAATATTTCATAGGAGCTAGCTGGAAGATATATAATGTTTGCTGGTGTCTTAATGTCCATAGATGATGGGAATGCTGTGTACTTCTTCAGTGGAGCTTTGGCATTCAGCACACTTCTAAATGTTTTAATGGCTTTCTTATTGTATATGGCCCACAAAAGAAACTGCACCAAACACCAATGCCCAGGTACTGCAACTGCTATTGTTATTGTCAACATCTAGTCAACCAACATAGCATAATAGTAAGAACACTTTATCATTTTCTTTTCAGAGTCTCATTCAAGAATTTCCCCGCCTTCAACAAATGCAGAGGTAAATTTTGGTGTTGACTTTTGCACACTATCATTGTAAAACATTGTTAGCCTGTTTTAAGTTGTATATTGTTATTTTGCAATTATATTTTATTATTAGGTCAAGCAAAATGAAGAAAACCTCCATTATGCAGCTTTAAGGCACCACAAGGCTGACAGACCAAGAAGACAGAGAAACAACAGCAAGGCTGAATGTGTCTACTCAAGTATAAAGCAGTAGAAATCAGTGTGTGTTTTTGTGTATTATAGTTATCTTGGTAGTTTTTATACTTAGTATATTTCTTCAAAGCCTTTAAATGCTAAAGAATAAGACACTGACACGATATAAGCATTGCAGTTCTGTAACTTCATGTTTCGTTTTTTCACCAAATAAAACACTTTTTACTGTGTGTGCTGGAATTCAACCTTTGAAGCATTTGTATGAGATGGTATCTGTTGGAAGTTGTTGCTTTCTTGAGTGTTTTATCTTTCTATAACACAATACTTTTACAGTGACAATAAATTCGGACAAATAATGAGCAGACCTTTTACTTTTTTAATACAAAAAAACGAATCAGTTTCTCTACTGTTTCTACAGACTAACCATAAAGAATAACCAATTCTATCACTTATTTCAAACAGGTCATATCTTGTCACTAAGTACAAGTATTGGTTCCTAACCTAACAGTTTCCTGTTCAAAACCTCCTTATAACTGCTGCTTACAACTACTTTACTAAGAAAATGGATGGAATTACAAACCACCACAGCCATGACATCAGGATGCCACTGATTTTAGCCAACATCTGTACAATTTGGCATTACCTGAAAAAAAGAAACAAAATAATGAGAAATGAGTGGGGAAGGAAACAATTGGCGTAAATAAATGAATTCAGGCACATCCTCATTTGTCAAACTGCCATATGCACACAAGAAAAGATTCATGCATCTGTGTGTGCACACACACACACACATTGAGTTCCCTGGCAATTACTATGTACCCAGTAGACCCTTTCTTCCATTGACCTGAACAACATCCATTTCTTGTAGCTTTAGTGTATGTTTACTTGAGGCCTTGCCCACACGTCACTGTGTGGCAGCTGCAGTGCAGTCCTTACCTTTAAATCTAACCTGTCTTCTTCCTCTATTGTTCTGTCTTTATTATCTTTCTCTATCTCTGAGTGAAGTTGGCTCTCTTTATTTTCTTTCCCTCTGAAATACAGCAGCTGGACCTTAACTAGCAACATACTATGCGACAAACTGCACACAGTTTTGGTGTTTTCTGATATTTGTTGACATGAAAGAAGCTTTTCATCTGAAATTACCTGCATGTTGGTCTGGGCTGGTTCTAGACAGGCATATATGAGGGGGCAGACAGAAATGTAAAGGGGGCACATAGAGGCAATCCAGGCAGGTAAGGGGTGGGGATTGGGTGAGGTGCTCTGGATAACTGTTTTTGTCATGTAATTGGGTTGCACTTTGTCAGGCCTCTACCCTAAGACATGACAGACTTCCCACATACCAGACAGGTGTGGCCCGGATCTGGTGTCAAACAGGCACTACTGGCTGACTTCTGGCATGGTAAGTAGTATGTCATCCAGATAGGAGCCAGGCCTGGTGTTGATGGCACTGCATGCCATATCTGGCCTGATTGTGGTTTGGTTTATGTGGCCCAGGCTTATAGAAAACAGGTCTGGGTCGATTCTGGCATCAAGCTGGCAATTATGGCACTGTTTATGTTCCTATTTTAGTTAGAAGATCCAAATGCCATGTTGCAATACTATACCGCTATGATAGCCAACTTACAAATGCAGTTTTGACAGGTTTGAGTGTACACTTTATCCAAAACCTAGTGAGAGCTTACTCATGTTTACCACTAGGTGGCTGTAACTCAGGAGGTAGAGCAGGTCACCTACTGATCGGAAGGTTGGTGGGTCGATCCCTGGCTCCTCCAGTCTGTGTGTCAAGAGTGTGAACGTATTTAAGAAGCACTGAGTTTAGAGATAGTGTGTGTGACTCGGTGAATGTGCCATGTTGTATAAAGCATTTTGAGTAAACTTGGAGTAGAAGAGCGCAATATAAGAATCAGTCCATTCACTGTCTGAACAAACATGTTTCTTTTACTCTATTATGTTCCGGCACATGTTGTTATTACATGGCTCAATTAAGGTACATACGCCTGGAAACGGCAAATCACGTCAGACTAAAAGACCGGAATCCAAGTTCACCAACAGGATTGCTCAGCATCGTCATTGTGAGAAAAAATTAAAATAAAGGAAGTTAAATTTAGGAACGTCACTGTATCTTAAACATAAAAATATAATGCTACTTTAGCTTTTCTTACATCTTCAGTGAAAGTAATCAACTTAAACCATCATGCAACATCGTTTGCAATAACGCTGTTATGAAATTAAACCCAGCAAATAAAATTGTAGAAACATAAATACCTGCTTGTTGCGGTTTCAGGGAGCTCAAATTAACATAGACACATTAAGAGCACCACATTGCCTGCTGTAGCGTTCTTCACAGCTGCACTTCATCTCAGAGGTAGGTTAATAAATTGAATTGAACACACGAACACAGTGTACAGTCGAGTCTTAATAGCTTACTTACAACTGCGCTCGTCAGACACTCTTTTTGGCTGCATTAGTTATTATTTTTACATGCTTCCATCTCCCACTCGGTGACAACTTGTACTTTTCCACTCACTCAACACTGAACACAGTGAACAGAAAAATGTGTTTAATTCCTAAACAGTTAATGCAAACCCTGATTGACGTTTAACCCTTTAAAGCCGGTCGGAGCGGGCACGCTCCATTTTGTGTAACTATTTTAAAATCCTGGTAGAACTGCAACCACGTAAGCTAGCGCAATAATTTTTTTTGCATATGAAACCGGAGGAGCTGTACTTACATCTTATGCCATGAGCTTTTCCTAGGTCACGGTTTCCTTCCACATACAGCTTTGCAAAAATTGTATTAAAAGCACTTGCAGTAACAAAAACATAATATTACAGAAACACGCTTTGCTGATCCGATTAGCTCTTCATAACACTTCCTATGTTGGAATAGATGTCAGCGAGAACTATCGCATATCCGCTATTACCTGCCCGAAACCGGACGTTATGTCATTTTCGCGGAAATATAGTTTTTTACCTTCAGGATCCTATAAGCCTGTACTGGTGTTTTTAAAAGTTATGTTTGAATTTATGACTTTGTTTTTGTTTCTGGGATCCTTAGAACTCAAATTGCACTGCTGGAAATAGTTTATTTTGTTGCACATGCTGGTTTTTTTTGCAAATTTGCATTATAATAGTTGCTTTAATTTTTCCTGCAGTATATAAAAATTGGTGTATTTTAAAAATAAAACTATAAAAACTATTTTGTGCAACTTTTTTGTATTTACAGTTTTGAGGGATAAAGCTCTTAGATTTCTTATAACCTCTTATAACTAGAAATATATGTTAAAAAAACCAAAACGATTTTCAAGTTTTTTGTAGTTTATTGTCCCTTTTTGCAATTTATGTAATTACTATGCACGTAATGCATACATATTATTAAAATTCGGGCTATAATGGTTGTATTGATGTATAGCAACTTGAAATACTCCCAAAAATGGCACTACAGCATGTAAAAAACTACAATATAAGGTCTCGTGGACTTGGTTCTATGGTACGTCTTAAAGGATTAATTTAAACTTCAGAGGCAAAAGTACAAAAAAATTGTATTCGTCCAAAGAAGTTCTTACTATGAAAACAGACAATAATGAACATTATAATTCACATTTACTAAAAGTATGCTGCAAAAGAAAAAGGTTATAATGTAATAGCCTTCTTTTACCATCATTTATGTTGTTTCCTAACAGTCCAGACACTGAGCTTAAGATATATGTGTCAGCCGACACGTGATCAAGCTCCCTAAATAGGACATGCTGTGTCATTTGTGGTTGGCCAGTCAAACACAGTCTTCTTTGAAAAGCAAAGACAGGTTCAAGAATCTTTTCATTCAGCACCAGAGTCTGAACATGATGGCATCTGTGCAGTTTGTCTTCTATCTGACATGTTTGTTCTTGGGGGAAACAGGTGAGTTTTTAAAAACTGCAGTATGCAACGTTTACCGTTCTTCCCTGTGTCTCAAATGTTCATTTACGTTCTTTCATTTTATGTCAGCTCACACAAATGACCTCAAATTCTCCTTGTCTGTTCATCAACAAAGACATTTTGTATCAGCTAATACTGGGGACGATGTGACTCTGCGCTGTTTGTATGAAGGTAACGATGTGGCAAGGCTTTACTGGTATAAGTTAAATTTGGGAAAGGAGTCAAAGCTTCTTTGTACTGTCAACACAGTGGACAATCAAGCCATGTTTCATGATGAATTCAAGAGTGATCCACGGTTCACTGTGAATTTTGAAAAAGGAAAGATTGACTTACAGATAAGTGATCTGCAAATTTTAGACTCTGCTACTTACTATTGTGCAAGCAGCTATGGGTACAGGTTTGCATTTGCAGAGGGTACTGTCATTGATGTAAAAGGTTCAGGGTCGAACATCCCAACTTTAGTGCAGCAGTCAGCTTCTGAGACCATCCAACCAGGAGGCTCTGTGACTCTGAACTGTACAGTACACACTGGGACCTGTGATGAAGAACACAGTGTTTACTGGTTCAGAGACTCTGAAGATTCTTTCCCAAGAATCATTTACAGCCATGGAAGCAGGAATGATCAGTGTGAGAGGAAACCCAACACACAGACACACACCTGTGTCTACAACCTGCCAATGAAGAGCCTGAATATGTCTCATGCTGGGACGTACTACTGTGCTGTGGCCTCATGTGGACACATACTGTTTGGAAACGGGACCAAGCTGGACTTAGAAGGTGAGTCGCATTCAAAAATATATTCAATTCCATTCTCAGCTCATTCCTATAATACAGCTGAAGATTCTGCATGTTCTTCTTCTCTTTCAATTTGCAGATGAGGTGGGATTTCTTTACTTGGTGCATGTCCTGAATGGAATTGTTGCATTCACTTGTGTCCTTAGTTTGTGTTTGATGTCCGTATTGTTTGTAATGACAAAAAAGAAAAGCATCCACTTCACAGGTAAGTGTTGTTGTAAAGTTTATTCATGCATTGAATGTCATGTGCTAAAAAGATTTTCTTCTGTTTTTCAGAGTCTCATGGAAGCTTTTCAGAGGTAACTAAAAAAATGAAGATGTAATTTCTGTTTTGGTTCAGCAATTTTTA